AGAGCATAGAGAGCTGACTGTGAGCTGCGTGCAAAGCGCTGCAGTAGGAGGCGACACACAAGCAGACATGTTGGAGTCTCTCGGTTTTATTACTATTCTGCTGCCAGATAACAACAGAGAATTCACTATGTTGTTGCGCACGCACACGGAGAGAAGGCGGGGTGGGGTGGCGGTTGTGCGATGGTGAAGCAAGTCTGTTGCCGAGGGCGCTCTCCCGCACGCGCACGCGCACGCGCACGCGCACAGCAGGATGGATGGAAACGCTGCCAGTTATTGAAGGTTTAAGAAAACACACTTACCTTTTTTTTTTATTATTTCTTTGAGCGTTTCACTGCATTCTGTTGCGTTTGGCACATAAGGAGCGCTGGTGAAAAATGATCCGCTGATGCGCAGGTTTTGACTTGAGGTCAAAGGTCATGTGATGACGCAGATTTTATGCAAATATTTACGAGAATGTTCCAAAACAGAAGGTGGAACATGCACATTTCTTTCTTTTACATCTAATTTAGACGGCAGCTCTTCCCAGGTGACGAACAGCCTGATGGGAGCGACTGTGAATCCTGGGGACTACTGTGATATTAGCTGAGAGTTGTTATGACAGACACCACCATAATGACTGATTAGACAGCGACAATGACACAGTCACAAAAACAACAGCTAATAAATCACAACTAATATGTAATGACAGTGGAGTGTAACCTCAGTTTTGCCACATGGAGCATGTATTATTAAATATGCTTTACAAACAATCGCATGATGGAGAAACCTCCTAATGGCGATCTTATCCACATGGACCACCAAGGTGCCATTACGCACGGAGAGAAAATGTACCCAGGGCGTTTTATGGGCTAACCTTTGCTGCAGCTTTTAGTAAGTACAATGGTATGCGCTCGGACTGGAGGTGTTAGTCTATTAAACTTTACTGCAACACTGTGTCATTACATTAAATGTCAGAGCACTGCAGCTTTAAATGTAGATTTAAAAATGATTCACAGTGTGCTTAAATTAGATTTTTGGGGGGTTTCTTGCATCAAAAACATGAATACACACACATATGTTGGAATAAGGTGTATTACTTTACTCATCAAATAATTATTCTTTATTCTGGAGAGAGATTTGTTGACATTAATAATAATCAAGTATTGTTATTACATTCTTTTGGTTGGCTTACATGTATAATTATACATATATATAACTAAATTATATATGATACAAAATATATTTACTGGATTAAAAAATTCTTTGGGTGATTTTTTTTTTACTTTGATCAGTTGGAGCCTGCCTGCTGCTTTATTTTATTATTAATTTATATATGGGCAATGTATGGAAATGTTGACTAAGCCAATACAGCTTTTAGGAATGTTAATGGGAACATTACACAGTCCACATTTAATTGACATTAACTAATATTTTCAAACTATTTCATTTTAGATTATACAGTTGGACTTAAAATATTTCCACAAAATGTATGTCACTGATAGTTTGAAAGTGTTACTTAACTGTAATTTATGATTCCAGTGACATGAGATTTATTTTGAAAGGACCTTTGTACCAAAATCAAAACTATATATATATTTTTTTCGCTCTCTTATTTTTTTAATTTTATTTCTTTTTTTTGGATTACATTATTTAAGTACATTTCTTTGGCTCCATGCAAACTTCACAAAAATCCCAGTCCCCTAATGTCCCCCCTTCCCTTTATTCCCCTGAACTCAACACCAGTTGTCTACAGCATCACTCATCATCTCAGTGCACTGTGCTGATTTGACAAAAGCAGCATGAGCACTATTGCCTTTTAATATCAATGAAATCTCATCAAGAGTACATGTGACCTCCCCTCGGTGGATCCCCTCAGCGTGTGTGGCCCTCGGCTGCGGTTGTCAGGGGAAACATTTGCGCCGAAGACAAACGTGTGTTCGCTACAGGCTGCACTTGTGTGTGTGGGCTTGTCAGATGTGTCCATATAAGTCATCTCTAAACATTAACGACTGGACGTAGCCATCGAGGTGGTGTTGGTGGTGTTGCTGGGGGTGAACTGTTGAACTTGAATGTGATCCTGCATGGCACAACATCACAGCACCCTAAATAGAGCTGGTGCCCGTGCCCGTGTGAGCTCCTTCTCCTCCCCCCTTCCACACTGAAAACAGTCAACAGGGTGGTGTCGGCACTTGTCTCTGGGGTGCAGTGATATGGGTTGAGATGGAGGTCGGGAGCTGAAATGCATCCACGGAAAGACTTACAGCAGCTGTCCAACACTTAGTCCGGGCCCGGGCCGAGCCTCGGCTGCATTAGGATCACTCACTCTCTCCATTTTGCTGTAAACTGGGATGAAATGAAGGGAGAAAGGCATCCTTGACAGCTGTGGACTTGTGAACCCTGGCTGACCTCAGGGCCAGGGCCCCGGACTGTGCTGATGCTTCACAGCCAGTCATCACATCCAGATATAACCATCCCCACGGTGAGGCCTCGGTGCTGCTCAGGCATGAGCTCACCTTGACCTACAAACTGAAAACGTTGCCTCCAGACATTAGTCTCACAAAAACAGACCCTAAAAACTGTAAATGCTGAAAAAAAGTGTGTTTTTCACAAATTTGTGTGTGCCTGCCTGGCCTGTTTCAATCCCGCCCCCCACCTTGTGTGTGTGTGTGTGTGTGCGCGCGCATCATGCCCAAAACTAAGTCAACCCTTCCTTGAGATGAAACCAAATCATGCATTCACCCTCTCTAACCGGGAAGCTGCTCACAATTACCCAAGATGTCAGATCATTCAAGTTAATAACAATAATCACCCCAGAGACCTGCTTTGCCATTCGCCCATTCAAAGCAACTGGGATTTAATTACAAGCTATTTCCCTTCTTATTGCTATCCTGGAATTAAAACCCATCAGACACCTCGGTATCTGATAACTGCGACCGTCCGCAGCGTCGATACAGTCAGATTTGCCTTTATCATTACCCTTCAACCCATCTCGCAGCCCTGCGTCCCCTCCTCTTTGCTTGTCTGTTACACGAGGAGCCTTTTCACTTTTCCCTTCAATCTGCCTGCATGATAATTGGCCCCCCGTTTGAAAGGTCCTACTCTGTCTGTCCAACTCCACAAGCCATTATTCTAATCTGGAGATGTGAAATTGCCTATAATTTTCCCTGATGCCCCGTCACTTGCCTCTTCTTCCCCGGGCCTGCATGTTTAACAAGGCGCATAATGATGCAGGAATGAGGAAAAAGGGCACGAGGGGTGTATATATATAAAGAAGGAGATGTTAATGTAACACAATGCTTGTCGTTATGTGAGAAAATCAGCTTGGAGGAGTGAAAACACAGGGCTCTGATGTGGCTTTTGTTCTTCAGGGGCTCACCACTGCAGGCTTTAGACCTCCTGAACAAGACTAAAGGTAAGACAGGACTGTATGTAGCCTGTGTGACTGCTGACACAGTGGTCATAGCAGCTTGCATGTTAGATGTGGGTATGATCATTTTGAATGCAAGAAGATGTGTGAGTATCCAGAGTGGCTTTGCTGTAATTAAACAGTGTGTTCTTCATGTGAAAAATAACAGCGGTGCCACACCCTCAGTGAAAAATGTGCACAATTATAGTTACGAATTATTTTACTGGCATTTACTTGACCTGGTTAAATCTAGTTTTTGAATTACGAAGCTCTCTGCTGAAGCAAGAGGTGTGAGCACCCTCACAGACTGGATGTCATGCCCCTTTAAAATGACATCATACATGAAGAGCAACACCTGAAATAAAAATATACTGTACTTTAATAGATTCCCAGAATTATTAGTAATATTAGGAGAAAATATCTCCCTTAAAACAGCATATAGGATTATTTTTCTAATCCCTGTGTGGGTGACATCAGACAGATTGTATCTAATGTTTGCCAGACAGCAGAGTGATAAATGAAAAAAGACAAAAAGAAGTCGCTGGGTGTTTCTTTAAGGCACTATTCGGCTTCATTAATCAGACTCAGCCTCTAATGTAATCAAAGGCATCAGAGCAGATTTGGCCAGTGTGTCTGCAAAGATATAAATAGCTAATTTTCCGTGTTTAAACAGCGGAAGCGCCAGAATGTGCAAATCAGTGCAAACGACTGTAAATCAGGCGCAAGTTTATTAGAGGGATGGCGTGGCCATTTGTCATCTTATTATGACAACGGCGACTTTTGTGTTTGAGCTCACTCGAGGCGAGGGTGAAGGGGGGATCTTTAAAATGCTGGTTCGCACGTGCTTTCTGCTCTCCTCACGGCATGTGGTGAAGAGTTGGGCCCTCTTTAAAAGTAGACGAAAAGTCCTTCTTTCCGTGTGAATATTTTATATATAAATGTCTCCTAGATATTTAAAATTTGCTGAAATATCACTTTGCTTTGTTGCAATCATAACTTTGAAATTTTAAGAGAGATTTAAAAGACACGAGTTGTCATAGCCTATTTGTACGTGCGCAAAAGTTACATCGCACACAAACACCGTGCGTAAAGGTGGCACCCTACACCCCCTTTGTTTTACCACGCTGGGAGATATTTTTTCTTTAATTTATGGACAGTCTGTTAGCTTTAAATTTGAAGTAATAATCCCAAAACATGAAAGCTACTAATCTGACTGTGGATAGGATATAAGCAACCAATATTTTTTACTCTCATCAGGAATCAATCCGCAGGTGTTTTGACAAAATCTGACTGGCGAAATCAGAGCAGATCTGCAGGTTGTTGATGGACACGAGACAGCTGATGTCTCAGCTATGAATTATTTGTGCTGAGCTGTGAGTTATTAGCACAACTCTGAACATCAGAGTAAGCCAGACTCGAGATACTGCATTTTATCCACAGATCAGGGACGCCTTTTCTTCGCGGGTCATCAAGACTTGCGTAAGCAGTCAGCGGCTCTTGTACGGTCTGATAAATAAAATCACACACTCATCTATTTGACTTTCAAAATATCTGACAGGGAAAACATTTGTCTGATAAAGCAGCAACCAAAACAAACACAAGATATCCATCAAAATAATGTAAATCCAACAGCTATTTATTTGCAAAATGCTCAGAATGTGTTGGACCATGCAGCTGAAACTCTAACAGACAAAATATGTTGTTAAATGCCTTTAATCCAGAGTCTCTCGTCAAACTGCACACACTGAATCACACGTTTCAGTGAGTTGAGGCCGTGCGCCAGAAGTTGCAGTGACATTATGAGAAATCTAAAAAAAAAATATTTTTGATGCCTGGTTGAAATTTGCTGTGAAAATTGAAAACGCACACAAAATACAAAGAATCTGAACACGATCTATTAAACACATATTTCAGTTCTGAGAGGAGGCCTCGGGAGCAAGTTCAGTGTGAAGTGCGCTTCAGAAAGGCCGAGCGCCCAAAAAAACAGTCCACTCACATCATCTGAGGCCTGGGCACCGCGTCCTGATGAGGATGGTGGTTTGGATACCAGTGACCAAAACTGTTCATGTAATTGTTTGGGTGCATTTGGGCTCCTTTGTTCGCCATGGAAACCTCCCAAAGTTGGGGCAAGCCGGGCGAGCACGGGGAGATGGAGCTAGTGCTGTGGAGATGTTCTCCCTCTGATCCGCTGCCATGCTTCATGATCTTTTTATACTTGGAGCGTTTATTCTGAAACCATATTTTCACCTAAAAAAAAAGGGAGAAATTACACATAATTGTCACTGCGGTTAACAATAATCAGAAATATAAAAGGAAATTATGTCTCAAAATGATTTTATAAGCATATTTCCCACAATTAAACTTAATACTCTTCTCAGAATTGGCTTGAAGTGAATATTGTGCGCAATTAAACCCCCATAACTCTCATCTTCTTTGTGTTGTTTCTGCAAATCTCAGGCCTACTACTACTATTGTTAGCAACTCAGCCTCATGGATGAGTGGCACTTTGTAATGCATTAAAACTGAGCTCTCTTATTGTTCGCTGCTTTATGAGTCCAATGGTGCATGAGTGTGACAGCAACAAGCCGAGACTGAGTGTGTTGTGAAATAAAAACACAACGCTGCGGTAGGTCACTCGCACTTTCTGCTGACTCCCAAAAATAAGATGGCTATTTTTACACCAGAACAATGGCGCGAAGAGTCATAAATGTCATCAAAAAGCCCCCAAATGAAACACTCCATAAACATCAGAGCAACAACAGCACCAAAGGCAGCGGAGAAGTGGGAGATAATCGCTGCAGATTTAGGGATTAAGACAAATGTGCAGGAGGCAGCTCAGATGACAGAGTCCATTCATTTATGTATCTCTTATTTTGAAACTTCAAACAACAGTCAAACAAATTAGTGGCGTAGTAAGGTGTCATCTAAGATCTCTTTTTTGTTCTAGCTGAGAATGATAAGTTGACAGCGACACGTGCACCTGTTTGTTTCCAAAATATGTTTACATATGCGCGTGGAATCATTCCAATGTTGCTTTTCCTAACAATTCAGAAACTGCGCGCAAATACGCATTAAAAATACATTTAATTAAAGCCTATATAAGATGTTTTTAATTTCATAATAAACAATTGCAAAACACTTTTAAAAAGCTGACAACCTCTAATTCTGCAGGCCTGTAATGACTGATTTTTCCTTTTATTTCTTTTAATAATTTTGTAACTGCGGTTTTGCTCCATTCAGAGAGCACTTCAGGGACCAGGTCTGACAAAGGAAAATACAGCCACGAAATTAAGCACAGTAAATAAGGCATGCATTAAAGGCTCGAGTTACAAATCACAACAATTTGGTTTCTCATTTGATCTCCTGATGCGCCCTGATCCTTAATAATACAGCAAATAAGAGGGTTGCTTTCCAAGCCTTCAAACGCAACATCCACTTTCTCCTGGTGATATTTTAATTCACTCTGCTCTAAGTTTAAATTAAATTTAAAAAATATTATTCCTGTAATTCAATTTAATAAAATGCTAAATATAGCAGGCCTTGTGCTACTGGCTGAATAATATTAGAATTATTAAGCGCAGCCTCATTAATTACCTTCATTAAATATATTCTAATATTGTGCAATAGCTTCGATCCCACACCCTACATTTTTCCTGATGCATTCATGGCCTTCTGGCTGCATGAGATAAAGGCCCACCTGAGTCTGGGTGAGTCCCAGTTTGGCCGCCAGGTCGGCGCGCTCCGGTAAGGCCAGGTACTGGGTCTGCTGGAAGCGCTGGTGCAGAGCCTGCAGCTGCAGACTGGAGTAGATGGTCCGAGGTTTTCGGATTTTCTTCCCTTTGCCATTTAGACGGATGTCCCTGCTCTCAATCTGCGTGGATTTCTCGCGATCTTGCAGATTGAAAGAGAAGAAATGGGATTAAATAAGGAGAGTTTTGATGTATATATTGTATTATTGCATGCTGTGGGTCAAGACAAAAATAAATCACATTTGAGCAGACTTTTCCTGATTTTCTAAGAAAACGAAATCTACCATGTCAAACAGCTGCAGAGCTCTGATTGAGTACAAACAAGAAACATATAGTCCCTCACAGGCCGCGCTCTGCATGCCATAAATACAACTCTTCCAAGGCCTGGACGCCAAAAAACATACCTTATTTTTAAAATTACTATCATATTAGAGCTAATAAAAATCCCATGTCCATAAATGGTCTGATTCTGGTTTTATTACATGACACAGACATGAGAGGACTGCTGCTGTTTTCTGGAATCGTTTTGTCAATGTGCGCTAACAATGAGGGTAAAACACGAGTTCCTGAGGTAGGCCCGGGATACACGGGCTATAATTGGACTTACCCGCAGAAAATTATGGTCAATAAAATTAATGGCACCATCTGCCTTCATTATATAACATGAGTGGTAAAGAGGGAGCATCCCTGAGAGGCGCTGGTGTGAATGCTAGGCCTTGTTTGGACAACAGTGAGTCTGCTGACATCCACCTTAGTTAAACATTCAATGTAAGACATTACATGTGAAATAAACCATTTTTATTTTGTTTATTTGCTTAACTTGTAAGTGGAGGATTTTTTCTCAAAAGGAAAATTGGCGCCTTGTGCGTAATTGCGCATAATACCAAATCAGAATTTCATACTGATGCAACAGTTTAGCTCGATATTTCTCACATACCTGTGTGCTCTAATCTGCTGTGAGCCAGGCTGCTGCTGTTGCTGTGATTGCTGTGCTGGTAGGGCATGTATGCAGACGGGGGATGAGCGTTCACCGCGCCGGGGTAGGCGTAGCCCAAAGAGCGGCCGTAGGAAGCGCTGCCAGGAAAAGGACTTTCATGCTGGGAATGCCCAGCAGCGTGCAAGCCATGGACGGGGTAAATGTGGGAGAGTCCGGGGGAGTGCTGCTGGTGCGCCGGATGTCCGTGGCCAAACTCTAGGAAGGCCGATTTGGAGGGATCTGAGGCATTCAGACTGTCAGGCATGAAACCCATAGACATCATTAGCTAATACGCGAGTCCATAAACCCGTCGCTCTGAGGAGGCTTTCATGAGTTGTGTCGGGCAGCGAGGAAAACCTGGAGCAAATCCACACTTAAGTCCAAAGCTTTGCTGGTGAAAAAAAGCTCCCCGCGGTAATAAGTTACAGCGTGCATGTTCACAAGTGTTTAGGAGGCAAAAAAATAAATCGAATAAAAGCGAAAGGGATCCTTCTTTACATCATTGGAGGAGCTGACATGGTTCTTCAAACACCTCCTGCCTGCAGAGCCTCCAACATACTGCCTTCCATCTGCGAGCCCTCTGATTGGTCTTCAGCAGCCAGCTGTCACTGGAGCTCCACCATTAACTTCATTAACATATGATAGAGGATGCAGCTCTGCAGCGAGCAGGAACCTCCTTCTGTAGATTATTAAAATATTTGATCATATGTGGACATTTTAAGTCGTTTAAAATGCGTTAAAGCGTAAATTAATATTAGCTTTTTTTTTGCTGAAAACATACCTGCGCCAGGAGATTAAATACCTTATGGAAATAATGATAAGATTTATTCAAATTTTTCAGCATGAAAAAATCTTTGTTATTAAGACAATTTAGTTGAGTTACAAGATTATTAGTGTGGCCAAAAATATGCGTTTATGGATATGATTTGCATGAAAATAACAAATGCAGTGGCTAATGTATGAGCATATACAATATGAATAACAGTTAAACCTATTAGCTTCATTATATTTGGCGTTAATAACTCAAATAAAATGAGATTTGGCATTATTTCGTTTAAGTTCCTGCGCGTAATTCTCGCCAAAAATAGTTTAAATTCCTTTATCTTAATAAAAGTTTTAATAATCATTCGCCAAGTTTATTAGACACCCCGCATTGCTTTCAACGAATAGATGACAAACAGGTTGATTCATGATTTTTAACATGTATTAGAACATAATTTCCCACCGTGGCGCCGGCTAATGAAACATTAACGCACTATAAAGAGTTTCACACTGTCTCCAAAATCTCGCGATCACTGATGAAACACTTTTCTGATGTTTGGGATTTTGCTGTTTTAATTGTGCAGCAAGCATTCACAGTTTTATCAACTCACAACTCATGGAAAGACAAAAAAAGACAGTAAACAAAGATTCAGATGAAAATTATTGCAGAAAAATCAAAGAAACATAAAAGGAATCTACTCTAGCATGCTTTGATTGACTCAGGCTTGTTTAAAGGACACATTTTTACAGCTCATGTCACACTCAGCACCAGCCAAATTAAGTAATAACTGTGGTACAGTAACCCTAATTAAAAAATAGCACCAGTGCAGGAGTATATATATATATCAAATGACACCATTTAAAAAGCAGCTGGATTAAGGCTTCATTACATAATTAGTTTGATTACTGGAAAACTAATGGAGATGGATATTTCACCCTGCAGGTGACAGAAGGACAAGAAACTCTCCATCCAACAGGATGTTTGATTCCAGTTTTACATGAAACAAAAATACTCAGCCCACACGTCACTCACATTATTTCTACCTAAATGTCAAGCTTTGTAAAAAATAAGGCAAACACAAACCTGCCAAAAGAGGGCGGGAGTGTGGTGCAAACTGCACAGTCAGCAAAACACACACAAGGTGCATGTGGATATAGTGTGTGGGAGTTTGTGGGGGGGGGGGTAGAAAATGGTGACCACAGGCTCAAAGAGCAACCCTGTCTCCATATTTCAGTCTCTGTTGACTCGCTCTCAAGCAGAGTCAATCCACAGGTGGAGGAGGGAGGAGAGAGGAGTGGATATCCTGTTGCTGTATTCTCAATAAATAGAGTCCGTCATGTGTCGATACACATTTCATCTCGGCTGGATCACATGGAAGCTTGCAAATTATAAGCGGAGTGTTTGGTGGGTTGAGCGTGGTGCTGAGCTGCTGTCCAACCCCTTCATTTTGGTCATGTCCTACCCTGCCTGCAACTACTGGGAATCCAGCGGCAACTCTAAAAAGGCCTGCTGGGGGCTGGACCGCTTCCCGATTCCCCCACAGGCCTCAGCCATGCAGCCAGCCAGAACAAAGCCACAAATTATTATCATAGTAAAATTTCAGTCACAATAAAAAAAATAAAAAAAAAATAAAAAAAAAGAAGGCTGCTGAGAGGCCAGTTTCATATTGTGGGCGCAAGTTTCACACAGTCACAGCTGTAAATCCTCACTGGGAGATTATATCATGGGAGAATGCTGTGGCTTTGTCTATTAGGAATTTACTGCAGCGTTATTGGTGTTGGAATTATGGTGGCATTATTTTTACCAAGTGACTGAGAGATTTTTGTTGCTATAGGAGCAAGAGCGTATGTCAGCAATGGGACAACAACAGTTCACAGGAAAGTCACACTTTCTGACAGATGAATAGGATCAGGGAGGCCAAATGAAGACAAACGCAGCAGCTTTGAAGACGTAGAGGCCTATGGGCAAATGTGTGCAGCTCTCTTGTGAGGCACTTCAGCGGCTGAATGCAGAGGATTGAGTCCTGGATGTGAGAATCTGTCAAAACCGTGCAAGGGCCCAAGGTGTGGGCACAGGAGGTGTATGAGGCAGAGAGGGAGCAAGAGGAGGTAAGGTGAAGGAGGCTCTTTAAGGCTTGTAATTATGTCTGTATTACGGGTGAAGAACAAAGGCGAGCCCTGCAGTCATAGGGCAGGGATGAGTCCCTGCCGTGGCTGTCTTAATACACGCAAAGGGATGATGTTGAAAACAGTCACACTCCCGAATGCAGCCCAGACTCACTGGCGTCTACTCAGCTGCTCGATGCATGTGTCTGCAGAGGTGTGTCTCACATAGGTGTGTGTTCTCTCTCTCGCACACACGCACACGCCAGTCAAGTTTGTCCATCACGCAGCTCTGATGCAGAGTGACAGCATTCTTTGTGTACAATCCGAGAGCACATTCCCAGGCAACTGCCAAGGCTGTGATCTTCCCCACTGGCACATCATGTTTTACAAGTAACCCTCTGTTGCTGGGGCCCGAGCCGAGGGCCCGCATGCAAATCCACTGACAGTCCACGACCCCGACAGGATGCCAGGATTTATTATCACAGGCTCAGCTCACCACAAAATAGACACGAAGAAAGGCCCACATGTCCCATTTCAGCAGTGCACCATGATGAAGCTGAGGTGTGGTTTTGACACAATTATCCCACCAGAAAATGCATCAAAGTGCGGACAAGCCGTGAGAAACATGAAAACACAACCCCCCAAAAAAGTGCACATTTCAAACCAGATGAAAACCAGATATAAATTTAATCATGTATATTGATTTTTAATGTATGTCTTTATACTTTTGGGTATGAACATTCTCCCCACATGGACCCACTTCCTTCCCTGCTTTGCTTTTATATCAACATATCCTTTTCTGATTAGTCCAGTTCCCTTCGTCTGTCACTGAAACACCTACAACTGTACAAAGCAGCTGTTTTCCAATCCTTCTGCAAAGCCAACACAAACAATAGGATTTACTTATTTTTTTTAACTCTGTTTTTTGCCTCAGGAAAGAGAAGGGAGCAGAGGAGGAGCCCGAGCAGAGCAGAGGATGAACGGCCTAATCTTTCCTCCAGGCGCCATCACACAGTGAACACTAATATCTGCACGGCCAGCGTCTCATTCCACAAGTGCAGCCACGTTGCGGCTGATATGTGTGTGTGTGTGCGCACTGGCAGCCCTGCGAGGGCCCAGAGAGTTCACTGGTGTTACATGATCAATGTTGCTCATGTGTGAAGTTTTCACACACTGGCTCAGCTGATTAGAAAAGTAACACACCTATTTATTGGCTTCTTTGTTATGTCATTTACTTTAGCTAATTAAGTAATGTAATCTTTATTATGTTTCTAATTTCTGTTCCTACTGTACTAAATAGACACCTGCCATAAATTGGATTGACTGGTTTATTGATTATTGTGTTTATGGCGTTTTAAATTGTGCCTTTAAAAATAAACATTAACTATAATTGCATGCTGCAGGTGTGAAGTGACAGCTTAAAGGTGAGAGGTTTTTACTGCACTCGTAATTTTGATTGATTGTGGTGAGGACTCTTTAGTTTTAAAGACTACAGTTACGAAAATATATGTCATTTATTTCTACTTTTTAAAATTTTTATTTAAGATTTGAAATAAACATTAAAATATCCCAATTTCCAAAAGTGTCATTATTTTCATTTTATGTTTCTTATTAAAATGAATGTATTTGAGGTATGGATTGTATGCATTTTCCATTTTTTTGGTCTGCAAATATTAAACTTTAATTAAAATGTGAATTTTAATGTGCTGCTGCTTGTGAAAATATAAAAAAAACTAAGTGTTTTCATATAGTTTAGACTTTTTAATACCTTTAAATGATCTTTTTTGAACTTACAATGTGATACATTAAAGTAAAATACAATTTAAAAATTTGATTTCTAAAAAAAAAAAAGAAGTCCATAATTAATTTCCAGTAGTGTTTGGACTTAAAAGGATGGTCAATATTTAATATATATTATAAAAAATGCAAAAAGTAATTAAAAGAAAATCTGAACTTGCCTCTGCAAATATGTTTCCAAATAAGGAAATAAGGAAAATGTCAAGCAGAAAAAAAATAATTATTTTAATTCTATTTTAATTTGTCATTTATTAATTCTGTTTGAATTATAAATTTGACGGTAAAAAAAAGCCCCTTACACATGCACATTCACCGTTCACCTGCATTGTTTTGTAAAACCCTCAAAGCGCGGATTTTACCGGCAAACTAAGTCGATTCAAAAGCAAAAACAAAAACAACATAATTAATAAGGCATTTGTCATCATTTTGGCACAATTAAAAAGAAGAGACAATTAGATCGGGCGCGCGCGAATTAGATAAATGATAAAAACAAATAAAAAGAACACAATCAATTAACCTGCTATAAAAAAAGTGAGCGCTATTGCGTGGGAAATGGCGGAGTGTGTCTGGTCTTGGGGCTCGAGCTTTGAATTCATCATTGGGCATAATTGTTCCCAGACAGCGGATGACAGCAGCATCGCCCACTGCCGCTGACTGTTCGACTTAAACTTTTAATTGATTGGTTGAATATGGAGGCCTCGTCTGGAATCCTTTACGCGTAATACGCATATAAGCCACTCTGCTGCAACCTGAGCCCGGTGTCACGCGGGGCATCTGATTTAAACGCCTTCATTTGTAGAGAGAGCGGCGGTCATATGTCTAAATTACACATTGGTGATTTTTTTTTCTAACTTTCCTCAGCAGTCTGGTTGCGGCTCCAGCGCGCATTTACCACGCTGGCACACACA